GATCCCAACAAAAATGCTTAACATTTAACATTAAATAAATGCAAGAAATCAAGCAGATTACATCGGGAGAAAGAGTCTGAAACCATCGTACTAGAAAATGTTTAGCCTTACAGTAACTTAATTCAGAGTTACATTGATTAAAATTTATTAGTGTTGTCAGAAAACACTTGAATAATAAGGTTTTTGAAAACTGCTGCTGAGGTTTTGTCAGTTAAGATGAATGTACTTTTCTCACAAAAATCTTAAAATCTTGCAACTAATGATTTAAATATTGAGTCACTCTTATACAGTTGGGAAGGACTAGCAAACAATTCAGAATGTAATTGTTAAGCTTATGTTTTTCATTGGAGAGGATGAAGTTTTAAATTATAAGCAGTATAAAAATAGTTGTAATTTTGTGTCCTCCTCTTCCCGCTTTCATAGTGTTCTGCAATCATTCTGCAAATGTGTGTTTTCTTTTGAGGGCAGCAACATTAAAGCACCAAATAATGCTTTAAAAATAATAAGCAGCAAATAATAACTTAGCATTATAACAAGTGATTAGCAATCCACACACTTTCATAATATATCAAGCAACACTACAGTATTGTAATATATCTGTATATTCTGTATATTCTCATTAATATTTAAGATTTATCTATTTAAAACATTCGTTTGGCCATCTAATCAACAAAAACCATTCTTGGCAAGTTACAGAAAATTGGACAGAACCTAACAAAACACAACTGTATATATCAACTCTAAAGTATATATCAAACTGTATCAAAAATGCACAAGTTATATCAACTTGTAATGATATAATAATAGAATAGTAAGTCAGACAGAAATGGTGGGAGATTTTTATATGATTGTATAGTTCCCTTTGTTACTTTTATTTCCATTTCTGTTAATAAGGGGAATGGTTCTAAAGAGTGCTTGACTGTTGGCCTACGCTAATCAGCATTTTCCTGAAAATTAATTATACTGTAGAAGAAACTGCTTTTTGAACAAAGATGCCAAAGCAGCATTACTAGTATTTTATGAACAATGAATCCTAATGGTACCCTTCTGAAAACACTGATTAATCTGTCTTGCTGATGCAACAGGATAGTAAATATCTGCATATTGGATGTTGCATTTGTTAATAGCTTCCTAGCTTTTGTCTAAGACTTCACCCTCAGACTTTTCTTTGTACACAAGTAATTTATGGTGAAGGGTATTTGGCCTGCATTAAGAGATGTTATTTTGACCTTAAGCTTGTGCCATAATAGCAATACTTAATGGTTCCCTTTGGATTTTGTTCAAAGGTAAATGAGAAGTTTTCTAAAGATGTGGAAAATGGTATATACTAAAGGCAACACATCCCTTCCTGTATTGCTGAGCACCAGAACTAGAAAGCTTATACATGTAGTACAATGGTTCAGAAGTTCAATTTTATTTATTTATTTATTTATTAAATTTTGTATGCCGCCCACTGTCAAAGAGACTCAGGGCAGCTTACAATAAAAAGGGGGAGGGGGATATAAAAAAAATAAAACAACAGTTTAAAATTGCACAACAGTCACAAACCTGAAGTGGGGCTGGACAATTCAACAGTCCCAGGCCTGCCGGAACAGCCAGATCTTAGTCGCTTTGCGGAAGGCCGGAAGGGTAGTAAGGGTCCAGATCTCAACAGGGAGCTCTTTCCAAATTTCTGGTTTGAAACCCATAAAAGTAAGGTTTAAGTACATATTTCTTCCAAATCTCATGCAATATGAAATGAAACTTATTGTGTACTGCCTATCAGTGGTGAAATTCAATTTTTTTTACTCCTGGTTCTGTGGGCGTGGCTGGGGAAGGATACTGCAAAATCCCCATTCCCTCCCCACTCCTGGTGGAAGGATATTTCCAAATCTCCATTCCCACCCCACTCTGGGGCCAGCCAGAGGTGGTATTTGCCAGTTCTCTTAACTACTCAAAATTTCCACTACCGGTTCTCCAGAACCTGCTGAATTATACCCCTGCTACCTACTGATGATCTATGTAACTATAGATTTTGCTATGCTTTCAATGATTATTTTCTTAATAGTCCATAAGCTGAGATCCCTTGGCATTTTGATTTCTGTCACTGCTCTATAACAGCACAGAGTAGCTCATGATATTTCTGCTTTAACAGCTATATTCTGAGATTACAGATTTTGTCTATCATTACATTTATCTATACTGAGCATATTTTATATCTCTCGATATATTTTCTTTGATCCTCCCATCTCATCGGGTCACAACTGGTGCACACGATTTAAGTTTACACTTCCACATTTCCTGAAAGAGAGAACCTGAAAGAGAGTTTTTCCCTGATGTCTCTTTAATATCTAACAGTAATGTTATTAAAGTTTCCTATATTGAGCTTTGAGTTATGAAGTGATGTTTGCTACTATTGAAATAACTTTTGCTTTGACTGACAAGTTAGCAGTTGTAGAGGGATTAAATACATCTATTAGCCTGTTTTACAATTCTAGTTACTTAACAGAGTAGAGCAGTCTTTAAAAAGAAAACATAGTACTGTAGCTTTATCCTTCTGTCCACTGTCTAGGAAAGTGTTGTCTGAGGAATCCTGGGAGTTGAAATCAACGCATCTTAAATGTTGCTGAGGTTGAGAAATGCTGTTCTGTAGCAACCTGGATGTAACCCCTGTACTTGTGATTCTCCCTTACCTTTACACATACATCTGTGCAAGCATGTTCTTTTTCATCACCCATTCATTAAAGTGTGCATTCTAATTTGCTAAGTAAAAATCTTGCTGTGCAGCAGGTATTGGACTCCTGAGTGATTATGTTTAGCATGGAGTTGTTACTTGCATTCTCAAGGACATGCTAGCACTGAAGCCAAAGTAGAGACCTTTTTTTCATATCTGTAAGAATTATAAATTTCTTAGCAAGGCAATTATACACTGAGCTATTTTCTTTTCCTACAAAGGGGAAGGAAGCAAACTAATTGCCAGTGCTCAGTGAACGGAAAAAAGTAGTGGCAGTCCATGGCTGCCTGTACACGTGACCAAGCTTGAAAAGTCTCTGTGGAATTTTGAGAGAGATGTGATAGCTGTGATTGTGATGGGTGACCGGGCACATTTTCTTTCTCAGCTGCACAAAAACAGCTGACGTGGGTAGGATTTTTTTTTTTTTTTAAAGACAGTCACTTCTTGGTTGACTTGTTTCTATGTGCTGCTTTTGCCATCTGCTGGAAAAGGAAAAAAGGAGCCTTGGTCTCCTGCATTTTCATCCCCCAGTTTATCTGCAGTCTAATACGAATGCAACATTTCACACATTTTTAAGAAATACCGGGCAGTCCATGGAATTGTATTATCTCAGTCTATAGCAGCCGTATCTACTTTTAGTTAGAATGTGCTAATCTTTCAATCCTGATTTAATAAGACCTCTTGGTTAGCATTATTCAGAGTGAACATTGAACACCTGGTGCTCTGACATTTAATCCAGAATTGGGAAGTTGGAGCATAATCTTAGAGCAGTGGTTCTTAAGACATACTTTCTGATAATATAAAAGCCACACATTTTCCTCCCATAAATCAGTGTATGATCTTAAGAAACATACCTTGACCCAAGGTTTGCTTACCGCAGAGAGCATATCTTGCAAATCACCTATATGTGGATTTTTTTTCTCCTTAAAGATTCCCTTTTTCCATAAGAATGCATGTGCAAGCTCTACTTTATTCATGTTAACATTTAGACATTGTGCAAAATCTTTGTGACATTTTACAACCTTTCTTGACAAGGTAGTTAAGTGAATCACTTTCAGTTGTTCAGTCAATAACAAAGTTGTTAAGTGAATCTGGTCCCCCCCCCTTTTTTTTTCTTGGTTGGAAAGGTTGCAAAAGATGATCACATGACCAAGAGACACTGCAAAAATCATAAATATAAAGCAGTTGCTAAGCGTCCCCATTTTGATCATGTGACTATGGGGATGCTACAGCTGTCATAAGTGTGAAAACTGGTGATAAGTCATATTTTTAGGTGCCAATGTAACTTGGAATGGTCACTAGACAAATGGTTGTAAGTCAAAGGCCATCTGTAAAAGAATATTTGAAAACGTTTAAAACATACATATGATCCAGTAGTGCAAAAAAGTTTAAATCCTGAAAGAGACTTGTTAGGGGAGGGTTGGTCCCCAGAATCCCTGATTAAGGGGCAAAAACTAGTGGTGGAAAATTGGCTACGTTTAGATGATTTTAAAAAAATCTTTACTCTCTCGTGGAACCTAGTCAAAGGTCATGTTGAACCTTAGGTTTCTGTGGGACACAGTATGAAAAACCATCTACTGCTGTGATGGCTAACCTTTTGGGCACCAAGTGCCGAAACTGGAGGTGCATGTACGCGCCAGAACCCAGAAGAGCAGCTGGCGACAGCGCACATGCCCACAGAGAGGGCTCTGTGTGCCATAGCTTTGCCAATACATGTCTACTATATTAGACAATGTTAATACAGGTTATATATAATAACAGTGCCAATCCAATAGAGATGGGCAACATTTTGACATCTGTAATTGGTTTTTCTTACCATTATTACTTTCCTTGGTAGTTGAGGCACTTGGCCATTAGGACAATTAGTCATTAGAGGCCAATGGGATTTTGAAAAAAATATTGTTATAGCTTTTAGTCAGGTCTGTGTTGTATTCCTTTTTTCTTTGCGTGTGACTTCCTTGTACCCTGCCTAGAACTCTTGTCAGTTAGAGCAGCCTATACATTTTCTTGCAGAAGTTTCATTATCCCTAGTTTGAGTAATGAAACTCTGCAAGAAAACAACCAAGCTCAGAGAGCATCTGGGGTCCCTGATTTCATGTCTACCTCAGAAAAACAGTATAATAATCTTGGAGTTATTTGCTTCTCAAATGAATAGCTTCTTTCCAACCCCAAATCATTGGGAGAGGAAGGGGGGGAAATCACAAATCTTTGTTCATGTTTAAAAAATTAGAATATATGTTACTCAATCCGCCTAATCAAATTGAATAATTGCTACCTTTTCCTTCAGCTAAGATCTGTATTTAACATGACTTCAAATGAAGGCCGAAAAAGATCCATGAGGGCCCTTGTGGCTGTTGGCAATGGAAAAGGATCTGCTGGTAAGTAATTGTCCTCCAATAGATAACTCAAAGCTACCCTTCCAATAGAGGTAGAAATTCCCTTTTGTTGAATGCATTAACATTTGGGGGATATTGCATCAGGCAGGCATCTTTTAGAATTAGAGAAGAGCACAAATAGCTTGTCTGCTCTAACTATCCAGACTCGTGCTGAGATGCAAAAGATCCCATTAAATTTAAGGTTTGGGAAATGATAGCATTGGACGTGGCTCAACAGGCACCCTGAACCTTGAACATATATTGCAATGCACTTTCTCTGAATATTATTCTGCAGAAAGATGGAGAATCACGTTAAGTGTTGATACTGTTTCCTTGTATGTAATGGGGTTGTTGTTGCTTCTGTTAAACAGGCTTGACTGAAAATGGATGCTATTCATAGCGTTCTCTGATAACCCCCAGCACTTCAGATATAAGCATGTACTGAAGGATAGACAAATGAATGAGCTTTTAACTATCTTCACTTTGTGGTAGCAAGCCAGCAGCAGGCTTTTCAAATCCCCCCCCCTTTATTTTTTGAAGACATCTTCAGCTTTCATCTCACCTGTGATGTTGTTTTCATTTATTTCTTACCATTTGGTTTCGTATAGCCCCATTATTTGCTTTTGTCCTATTTCTCCTTGTAGAATATAAATGTATGCAGTATATGACTTAATCAGCCAAGAAGTAAAAGAGAGAGAGGTTCTATATTAGGACAGAAATATAGAAACAACACAGTGTTGCCTAAATCTGGCAAAGACTGAAGAAACAGGGAAGGAAGCTTTCTAAATCTGTCAAGAGGGGTCTTCTTGGAAATAATCTGTTTCGTAGCAGCAACACAACCCAGATTGTAAAGCTCAACATCAAAGACCTATTTATGTTCAGAACGAAAATCCCGCCCAGCAACAAAGCTAATATAATTAGCCATATTCGTCTGTTAGATTGCTTTACCGTTTATAATTTTGTACATGCTATCATTTATCGTATTTTTTAAAAAATATAATTAAAAGCCTTATGACAGTCAGAGTTTTGCTGAACAAAAACTGGACCTTAGATTAATCCAGGAGCCAAGGGCATATTTATTGGGGGTAGTGGAAGGGGGCAGATCTTTTCCTTTTTACTTGGATATATTTGCAGCTCTTAAAAGTTCTAGTTCCGGGTGGGGGAAACCGGCATAGAATCTTAATATTACATAGATAAGGGAAAACCTTAGTACTGTATGAAATGTGTGAATATATGTATATACAGTATGTATTAAATTTCTATGCTGTCCATCTTACTAATACAGAAACTCTGGGCAGCTTCCAATAAAATAAAGAGTTAAAAAGTACTTAAAACAGTTAAAATTAGAATAAAAAGTTTAAAAGATAAGAGCCAAGATGATGGGCATCCTGGGGTGAGAATCTTCTCATATAAAGAACATTGGTGCTATATATAGGAGTTTCCTCATTTTTTGCAAGTTTCCATTTGTGGTGTTTGTTTTCTAACAGCCCGTTTGTATTTATCAGGTTTTGCTCTAGGAAAAGCATCTCACATGAAGAATGCACTAAGAAAAGTATGTAATGCAAAAGCTTAACATCATCTATTGTTATTAAAGTCTGTCTTTACTTCCGTGGTTTTGAGATATAAAGTCATAATCGTCTGTTTCTACCCTTCTTCGAATCGATTTGGAAAATGTTAAATATCTCAGGCCGTGTTTTCTGATAAACAAGCTTTCCTATCACTTTCTATTTGCTGCTTTTATATGCATTTGGCAGACACTGAATTTGTGTGCGAAATAAACATTCTGTCCTTCAGCTGTCCTTCTCATCACAAATTCCATAGACATCATTCATGGAATAATAAGGACAATGAATTGACATTGGTATAGATGGAGAAATGTTATTATTCACTGCTGCCACTTGTGGCCAAGATTCACTCAATTCCCATTGCTGCACTTGGGCACTCAAAAGATAGATAGGTTCTTCTGCAGAGTGTATCCCTTTTTCTCCTCTTTATCACTTTGAACAAATTGCAGTGTTTTCAAAAGGCAGATTTGGAGGATTTCACAATTTTAAAAGTCAGGGAAGAGCATCCACTTGAAAGATGTTGTTTGTCATGTATACAGAATCTATGGCTTTGCATTTGCATTCATGGTGAAGTGCAGTAGGTCACAGATTCTTTGTGCTTCTCTTTGTGCTAAATAAATCCCTATTGCTCTTAACTTTTTTAGACTGAGAGGAGAGGAGAAGGAAAGAAATTATAAGAAAACTGATTTGTTTATATTTTGATTAAAATAATAGGTTATCAAAAGTTTAAAAGGACCTGATCAGGCCTCTCAGTTGAAGCCAATTTATCATTCAGGGTTATACTCAGAAATGACTAATTGAAATCAACAAATATATACAGATTCTAAATACTATATGCAACTGTTTTTTATTTTCTGCATGTAACCTTTTTTATTTTGACTTAACTAAGACTTTGGAAGGAATATAATTTCTTTGGAGGTTTTTTTTTTTACTTTTTACGGACCATTTTATTTTCCCTTTTCTTTTTTTAAAAGAATGATGAATTAATTAAACATCTCTTTTCTTTGTTTTTTAGTATCATAATTATTTTTCATATCTTTCTGTTAAGTTCTAGGCGAAGAACAATAAGGTTTCCTTAATTCAGACTTGACATTTCTCTTGAATATCAATCTTCTAGATTAAATTTAGCCCCTTATTTGGGCATCTGGATTGAGGAAGCTTTTGCCTCCTGGGGACTTCAAGAAAGCTGACAAAAATTAATATTTTATGACTCAAATTATTAAAATGTCATGTCATACTAAATAATCCGGAAGAATTTGTTAAGTATAGAAGGCTTTATTTATTTAGCAAATGCATATTGTCATCCGTCTCACAAAAAGTGGTGTACAGCAATTAAATAAAAAATAAATGTTGTAAAACAAGCATTATTAAAAATATAAAACAGTTATTAAAAGTATAGCACAGGAGAGAGTAGATATTAATAACAATATTAATAATATTAACATCAGTAGACCTCCAGCTATTATTTTGATTCTTTTAATTGAAATAAGTACTAGATTGTAGTTTATAATTGACCCAGAAGTAAGTTTAATATTTTCTCTTTTATCAGACCTGTGACTTAACTTTAGAATTGAGTTGGTACATTTTCTTAATCATTTCTAGTTTTTTAAACTAATGTTGTTTCCCCAGGCAAAGAACAAAGCTATTCGCCATTTACAGTATGTTGAAAGATATGAAGATCATACAAGTAGGTATTAGAAATACATTTTGAATTTTTAAAAGTGAGCTAGTTGCAGTATTTTCCCCAGTTATTATAAAACTGATTATTTCTTTCATCTCTTTATCTGAAAATCCAAGTTTCATGAACTTGCAAAAGTATGCCCTATCTGAAACTTTTCTTTTGGCCACATGAACGAATAGCTGTTTTACTCCATCTCAATACAATACAATAAAGTAGCAGAGGTTTGGAGAAGGGAGTATGAGCTCCATTGAGAAATATCTATCTGGTTCAGTTCCAAGCTCGGAGAAAGACACTGGAAGCATGGAGGCTGGCTGGAAAGATGATTTAATGGTGAACACAATACAATACAATACAATACAATACAATACAATACAATAGCAGGGTTGGAAGGGACCTTGGAGGTCTTCTAGTCCAACCCCTGCCTAGGCAGGAAATCTTATACCATTTCAGACAAATGGCTATCCAACATTTTCTTAAAGATTTCCAGTGTTGGG